CGTCACCAGGGTGGGGTCAAACCATGTCTCTTGGACTGTCCCTCACCATGAAAGCACACCCAAAGCAAGGGCCGGGGAGCAAAGACAGCACCCATCACATGCTATGGAGCACAGGGCTTTTGCCATGGGTTACAGGAATGTCTCCAAAGCTCCAGGAGGGTGCAGGCAGGAAATCCGGTTCACCATTTCTTTTTTTTTTCAGCTTTAATCGAGTTTATTGGTACATTTTAGGGATAGCGTACAGTTCCATTCATTGTTGGGATCTTGTACCTCTACATGACAGGTCTTGGTTGTCATTTTTTCCCCTTGTCGGTTCACCATTTCTTAACCGAGCTGCCCCTAAGCCAAGCCTGGGGCTTCCAACTGGAGGCAGAGATGCCAGCCAGCAGCATCCAGCAAGGCTCACTGGGGGTCCCAGGGAGGCCCCCACCCACAATGCTCAGGAAGACGGTAGCCTTTTGCCGGCCCCACAGATACAACCACAGAGCTGACGAGTGCCCATGGGACACCAGCAAGGGCAAAGAGGTACAGATAGAAAGCATCCCACCTTCTCTTACCTCGGCTCTCAACAGAATCAAAAGACTCGCTCCCGGGAGGCAGGGTATGCATGTGTGTGCGCGCGGGTGAGTGTGTGTGTGCGTTTGAGTGCCTTGTAAACAAATTGGTCTGGCCTAGCCACCTTTGATATTTAAAATTTCCTCTGATCCTTCATTATCCAGGGTGGAAAAACAAACACCAGGCTGCTCCCCTCCCTCTGGAGCTCTTAGAAAGCCAGCGTGAGGCTGAGGGAGTCGGCAGATTAGACACAATTTGCCGCTTACAATCAAAGCCCTAATTAGTTGATTGCATGAGAGAAGACAGAATATTCTGATCATGGTACTTTTTATTAGAAATGGAGAGCTGAGGCCTGAATAAAACTGATAAAGCGCGAGTGCCATTCCACGCACCTGGATGCTTTCAGATTTAATCAGAAGAGGCTTGTTAAGGCCAATCATTGTCAGGAGCAGTGTTGCTATCACCATCACCACCAACCATCACCATCATCGCCGTCACAGCCATCAGCATAATCACCGTCACCGTCACTGACACCATCATCATCATTGTCGGCACCATTTCCAAAACCATCGCCATTGATGCCTTCACCCCCACCGTGACGGCCACTGTTTTCTGAGCTTCCATTATGTACTGAACATAGCACACACTTGCTTCCTATCTGTGGCTTCTTGGGAGCTCTAGGATCCAAGAGAGGCGGTAGGTTACCCACAAGAGCACAGCTGGGTAACGGTCCAGATGCAGTGGCCTCAGACCACTCGGCCTCCTTGTACCACTGAGACTGCTGCTAACTTCATGAAGTTAGCATGAAGTGGGTCATGTCCTGATTCACTTGTACTTCTGTTCCATCACTGGGACAGTCCTCAGTGTGTCCTGTACGACCCCTAATTCACCTTAACAGGCAGTGTTGTGATATCACCTTCACCGGAGCCTGGTGCAGCCACATACACAGTGTATGTGTAGGGAAGGGGACATGGACACAGGATGCTCAGCAAGGTGGTGACAAAGGGAGAACAGAACCTGGGTGAGTACAATGGTATAATGTGTGCCAGAAGAGGCTGGGATGCTCCATTTCTCCTAAACAGTCTTTTACAACACCCGCACAACACATGAGGCAGCGTCTCTCTGGAAACTGCCTTGAAGTGAGGCTTGGACCAGCCTCCTTCACACATCAGAAGGATGCACCAACAAGCTGGAGGAGGCTGCAGGAGGAAAGGAAAGACCACCCTAGAATCCCAGGAGGGCATGAGATGCAGAAGGACAGACCCTAGAATACTCATTGATATTCCAGATGGACATGGTGGTCATGGGGCTTACAAATGCAGAGACTGTGAACCAAACCACAGCTCTTGGAGGTTTACACGAGTCAGGCAGGTAAAACCCTGCTGCACCCCTCCAGCATTTCTCTGCAGGCTACAGAAGAGGGACATCCAGGCTGCAGCTGGGCCAGTGGCAGGTTGTCTGTGATGATCCCAAGTCCCTGGTGAAGGGACAGCTCTCTGCACACTGGTAGAGGCTCCCTGGCCTGTTGGATGGAAGCCACCCAACTCTGGGCAGAGGCAGGGTGGTTTCCTATTCCTAGACTAGGCAAACTGCTGCCCACAAGCCACAGTGGCCCACTGGGCCAATAAAAACAAGTAAGGTTTTATTAGAACACAGACACTCTCTTCCACTGACAAACGGACTATGGCTGCTTCTGTACTATGAACACAGAGCTTAGTAGCTCCGACAGGGATAACTGGTCCCTTACAGAAAATAGGCAGTTAATCCCTATTCCAAGACCCTTATTGTGAGGGTTTTCCTGAGAGCCCTGGCCAGCTGGGGACCCTCCTGGAGCCAGCAAATGAGGAGGGAGGACAGATGTGGAGCACGTGGTGTGACACGGAGCAGAACAGGCCCCACAAAGAGCTGAGAACACAACTGTCAAAATGTTGTAACCTTGCCCAATAAAAAAACCAAACAGCACTTTCCAAAGAGAGCATCTTGTCCACAATTATATCAAGGGAGAGAAAACATGATTTCTGACTTTTTATGATAAAATATGCAGGGAAACTACACAGGGAAAAATTAAGGAATGTTTCCCCATCTAAGGCAGTAATTAAGAAGCAGCTGTGGGTGCAGATGTTTTCACAGCCACAGCTAAGCCTCGCGATAGGTATTTTGAAGGCAGCTGAGCAAGTCTGTCTGTGTTCACAGAGTCATCCCCACATCCACACTCTCAGCGCGCCCAGAAACACCACCGTGTGCGAATCACATGCTCGCCACAGGGGCCAGGAGCACTGCAAAATATTTCTCAAAACTCAGCAGAAATGCTGCTCTGATCCCATCCAGCCTCACCATTCTCCTGTGCCAGGCTGGGGTAGACCATGAACGATGGTAGTTTATATCTCCCAAGGAGCTGGGCTGAGGGGAGGGAATGTCACCGAGAGAATGGATGAAGCACAATGGTCTGGTCCTGCGCATTCCCCACTGCGTCTCACAAAGGACTGCAGGGCAGGAGACCTATGAATTCTATCAGGGAGTCACAAGGGAAAGCTTGCCTAGATATAGGATGTCTGCATGAGGTCTTCAGAGACGCACAGGATATTTCCAAAGCAAAGAATCTAGGAAGGTTTAACAGCTAGAAGCAAATGGGACTTCAGAGTGGCCGGGGCTGGGAATAGACCTGGGTGTGGGCCAAGCTTGCAATGTCCCTCTGAGCCACCACGAGGAACAGAATAGGATCAAGGATTTGGAATGGGAAGAGAACATTGGTGGCCGACAGAGCAAGGACCCTGGGTCCTCTATCTGACCCTTCTGCTCCTCCAGGAGAAGCCTCACTTGCACCCCACTCCGATAGGCCATTAGGTGCAGCATCTCCATCTCGCCACCGTTAAGAACAGGGCTTTCTTGAAAACAGAAGGAAGAAGGGCAGAGGCGACCTCCAAGTGGGACAGCTTGCATTAGCCTGACCTTGAACACCAAAGCTCCCCTGAAGCTCCCTTGAAGCAGTTCTGCAACCCACCTGCATACCTGAGCCTGGGCCTTTTCATGTCTCCTGTGGGGTATCAGCTTGGCTGTGTCCCCTCCCTTACTCTGCCCAGCTCAGTGCACCCATGGTGCAGGGTGATTTTCTCACCTATGGCTCCCTCTTCCAGAGAGGACACTCAGTCCCATGAGCCTTTGGGGCCTCCCAAACATAACTGTCACCCACTGTTTTGGGCTGTCACAGTTGGTCTGACAGGGTACATCCGGGGTGGGGGTTCGTGAGCAGACACATGCACACCCACGTTCACAGCAGCATCCTTCACAACAGCTCAAAAGGAGGATGCTGCCCAACTATCCCTTTAGGAAAGGGCAGGGTCTTAGTTCTTACAGCTGTGACACAACACCTGGCACCCACAGCTTAAGGGAGGAAAGGTTTATTCCAGCTCACAGTTTGCAGAGATTCCAGGCTATGGCTGGCTGGCTCCAAGGCAGGATGACATGGTACAGGGGCGTGGTGGAGGAGATCAGCTTACATCATGGTGGACAGGAAGCAGAGGAAGACCAAGGAGGAGCCAGGAAGGGAGGGAGACACACCCTCTGTCTTGCCCTATGACCAGCCTCTTCTGACACAATCTCACCTTTTAATGGCAAGTCAGCTGTGAGTTCCCATAATCCAATCACCTTTCAAAAGCCCCACCTATGGTCACATGAGGATCTGAAGGGACATCTAGACACAAACCATAGTGCATGGATAAACAAAACAGGGTCCATCTATACAAGCGCAGTGGTACTCAGCCTTAAGTCAGGCTCTGACACACAAACTACAGCATGAGGGACCTCAAGGGTACTGTGTTGAGAGGAGCAAGCCAGGCACAGAGGGACACGCATACGATTCCACTCTTAGGAGGTCCCCAGAGTCCTCAAGACCATGGCAACAGGAAGTAGGCTGCGGGTGCCAGGGTCGAGAGAAGGGACAGAGTCAGTCTTTAATGGGGACAGATTTGGTTTGAGGGGATGTGGAAGCTCCGAGATGGACGGAGGTAAAGGCTGCACACATGTGAATGTGCTTAATGCCCCCAAACTCTGCACCTGAAATGATTAAGTGTGACTTTCTGTCATGTATATTTCACCAAAATTGAAAATCAAGCATGTGGGGTCAGATAGTTGTGAGAGTCGGGGACTGAGCAGAGCTGGTGCCTCAGGTATGGGATGACATGAGCCTCACTCCTCCACACTTTCTGCAGAGCCAGCAGGCAGCATGGGGCTGTGGCATCCAGTCCAGCAGACCTGCATCTGGACCCAGCCCTGCAATACCCAGGGTGACCTGGGCCTCTCTGCTTCTCCAGAGCACTGCATCCTCTTTTTTGCCACAGGGCACAGCTCCCACCCACACAGATAGCAGGGAGGGCCACCGGGGACGCCCCTGCCAGGCCCTTATCCTGGTGCCCTGGGCCTGGGGTAGAGGGTTGCATGTTACTGACCTGGTTGTAGAGGGCACAGATGTGCAAGGCTGTGTTCCCCGAGGCATTCTGGGCACCCATGTCTGCGCCATAGAAGAGCAGGTGCTCCAGGTGCTGCACGTGTCCGTACCTGCAGGCCTGCGACACAGAAGGAGCAGTGAGCAGGCTGACTACCTCTGGTCTGGCTGTGCAGCCAGGAGAAATACCCTGCTGTTCACACATACCTGTCCGAACCCACATGTGGGCACAGGGCTCATGCAAACACAGCCCACCCAGCAGGACGGAGGCCCAGATACAGGGGCTCCAGCCCCTGGCTACTCATGAGCAGTTCAGACGAGTGCTTGGCTGCTTAGACAGGGTTTCCAGGAAGGGCCCCCAGCCTTCCTTCTATGCAAACACAGGGAACCAGAGGAACAGATCATTCTTCTGACCTCAGCGCCCAGCTCCACGAAATGCGAACTGGGGCATTTGGCCTGCCTTGGAACCCCAAGCCCCAGTGCAGTAGCCAGGGGACATACTTGCAGCCCTCATCCTGGGCTATGTCCAGGGGATGAGTCTGCCAAACATCCTTCTGTGTGCCAGGGATGGCCCTGTGGTTGCTTCAAGTGTAATCCAGCCTGTGTGTGGGTGGCAGCGGCCCAAACCAGGGCTGCCCCACCATGTGATCTGCCCCTCGCTCAGCCCCAGTGATTGACGAGACATCAAGGACGCAGGGTCCAAAGGACTGGAGTCAAGCCACTGGCTTTCATTCATCAAGACTCTGACCTAACCTGTAAATGGAAACAACATTCCCCGCACAGGTAGGGCAAAGACCCCGAAGGTCTTGGATGACCCTGGGCACCTCATCAGCACCCAGAAAAGAGCATGGCCCCTTCCTATGCCAGCTCATAGGGGCAGGGAGTCCCTGAGGAGGTGGCCAGGGCAGTTCTGTCCAAAACACACTATGCCCCCACACCCAGGTGAGGGAGAAATATGGGTCCTGACCCAACCCCTCCCACCCCAGAAGTTACCAGGCAGCCACACCAAGGGCAGCAGCGCAGGGTGGTGATGGCACTGGCTCCCTATAAACACAGACCACTCAGTGACAATGTGTTTCTGATCACTGAGACACATGGAAGTTAACATCACCTTTGCAAGGTCTACGAGAATGAGCTACACCTCGACAGCTAGCAGAAAAGGCAACAGGGAAGACATTGAGATTATTAATTGGATAAGTAAAATTTAAGAAGAAATAGCCATTTACAATAGCTGTGCCTCCTGCAACAGGTCCTCCTATAGGTGCTGCTTCTCCCGTCCAGCTCTGTGCAAAGCAGGCCTTCCTGTGGGGCTTCTGTCTGCATCCTCAGTGGTTGGGCAGGGAGGGCCCAGCTTGTCCTGCAGATGGGGCCGTCAGTCCCTCATCCCAGGCAGGGTTCAGGGACCGTGGGACCCAGATGACCCTGAATTCCCAAGGCAGGGACATTTGTCAGCACTGCAGGACAATTACCTACCGACCTGGGGGCTGCTGGGGCCATGTGCATGGAAGGGAAGTTGGAAGGGAGAGCAGGAAAGGGGAAGAGAGGAGAGGAGGGAGGGAGAGACAAGGAGACAGAGACGCACAGGCTGAGCCAGGTAATACCCTAGGGTTCCTCTAGGCCACGCTGTCCCTGAACTTTCTGAAGACATAAAGACTTGAATTCCCCACCCCACTCCCACCCTTAAACCAGTTTGAGTTGGGAATTTTGTTCCTTAAATTGAAGAAACCATCTGCCTAATCGGCTCTCCCCGAAGGACTCCTACAAGCAACGCTGTTATGGCTTAATTTAATTGCTCTGTAGTCAATAAAAAAGAGAACTATGTTACCATAAACATGCTGAGCAATTAATCCGGGCTCATCACTCCCCTTCCCCCAGTTAATTAGGACTTCTGAGGTCACAAGTTCCATCCGTGGGATCGAGTCACCGATTTGTCAGCAAGGGCCAGCACGGGATCAAGGCTAAGAGTCAAGTAAGAGACAGTAACCTGAGTGGGAGGTTTGCAATGAAAAGTCTCCAAGGACCCCCACTTGATTTCTGCTTCATTTTCACATGCTTGATATTCTGCAAAAAGTAAAACCAAAAAAATGCAAAAAAAACAAAAAAAAGTGCTGAACAAAAACAAAAACAAAAACACCAAAAAACCCCAAAAAACCAAATTAAAAAAAAACCCTATCCCAATCATGAAAGAGGATGTCTAGACCTGCTTCGGGGAGCGGCAAGAAAGAAGGCAGGAGTGAGTCTGAAGTGAAGGGGGTGTGTTGAGCGGTTAATGGCACTGGATTGTACACTGCAACAGATTAAAAAGTGTAAACGTCTAATTCTGATCACCTCTTGTACAATCTGAATGACCTTTATTCCACCAGTCTGTATTTAAAGGGCCATCTTTGCTAGTCTCGTCTTTTTAATCCCTGGTGGTTCAAGTGAGGGAGAGGGAGCAGCTGGGTGTAAGGGGCTGAGGGGACCTAGGCAAGCCGTGGCCACCGGGTCAGCAGACTGGCTGCAGCCTTGGGAGGAGCAAACAGGTGCGTAAGCACTGGGAAGTGAGGGCCGGGCTCTCTCTGGAAGCCGGAGGACAAAGACAGCTGGGGGGTATGGGAATGTACCCTGCAGCCCTGGCTTGGATGGGGCAGATGGAGCCACGGTTCTTGATACAGAGAGAAACAAAAATGGAAGTTTATACAGCTGGCTACCTGCATGTCTGTGGATTCAACCAACTACAGATGGAAAATATCTGAAAAAAAAAAGCACTGAACACATATAGATGTTTTTCTTGTCCTTATTCCCTTAAACAACCACAGCGTAACAACTGTTTCCATAGCATGTGTGTTGCGTCGGGTGTTATACATGAGATAAAGATACCGTGCCGTTTTAGGTCAGGGACTTGAGCACCGTGGATTCTGGCGTCCTGTACGTACACATGTACACATCTTCCCCTGGCTCCAGACTGGGTGTAGAGCCAGGAGGAGCCCTGTGATGGTGAGGGTGCCTGCCACTAGCTCTTGGTTTCTAAATGTCCTTCCCCACTGAAAGGAGCCAGAGTTCCCAGGGGAAGCGCTGATTCCAAGGCTGAGGCAGGGAAAGAAAAAGAGGAGCACAGAATATCACCTTGTATCAGATAGGAAGGAAAGGAGGGAGGGAAGGAGAGAGGGACAGAGGGAGGGAGGGGAGTCTAGAGAGGATGGAAGGACAAAGGAGCTACCCCGAGGTGCTCCCACCAGCCATAACTGGGATAACAACAACCTCGCTATAAACAAACGAGCAACAAGCAACAACAACTACAAAAGAGCCAACAGAGGCAGAAGCAATGATGATACCAGGACATCTCCACTTGGCAACTGTGGCAGCCACAATCAGTTGAGGCAAGGACACTGGCCCAAGCAGGAGAAAGGGGTCAGGGGCAGGGATCACTGGACCAGGCCGTTCACAGGAGCATCCCTAGGAACGGGCAAGAGGCCGCCAGAGACCACCTGACAGGAAGCAGTGCTGAGAGCGCGGCGATCAGCTCCAGGAGGCTCCCCCGCCACAATGTGCACCGGATCCCATCCCAGGGACACAGCAGACACACCCAGCCTGAAGATCTACAGCCGGCCCAGAAATCATCACAAGGGCCCAAGCCGGAGGGTCAGGGAAGACAGGTGCTCCTCCAGGGTAAGGGTCCAGAGAGGACCCTAGATTGATCCTCTGGCCATAGGGGACACCACAAGGACACCTGACAAACACAGATGTGGCCTCCAAGGAAAAGGTGTATGGAATTCTCTGTGCCAGACTTGCAGACCATCCTCGAAGCTTGAAAATGGAAACAGACATTTACAATTGAAAAAACAAACAAACAAACAAAACAAACCACTACACCTACTTGACACAAAGATACAGAAAGCTACCAAAGGGTTAAAGCAAAGTATGTGTCCTTGCTGAGGCAAGCAGGGCAGTTTCTGGCCAGCGGAGATGGACAGAGAGCTGGCGGAAGTCAGAGAGCATCTACAACGTAAGCTGAAACACTGCCTTCCACGCTCGCGTCCTTGCATCTTCCAGGGTGCTTTGTGGATAACGCATGTATCGGGGCTCCACCCACATCTGCTGCCTACGATCTGGGGGTGGGTGTGCAGGTGTATGGAGATGATCCCCACAGGTTCCAGGTTCACCCCAACTGTACAGCCCACTCACCACTTGCCAACCAGAGATGTGGCATAAATTAGGAAACAGGGCACTCCTTCCTTTAAGCACTTTACTGCCACCTGCTGGGCATGTGGGATAAATCTCCACACTTAAAAATCACAGCAGGGGGACAGCGCCCCCTGGGGTTGTGCAATGTCCAACACATGCAACCAAAGCAACACAGATCTCACTGCACCATACCCAGGGGACAGCAAACACTTGTGCACAAGACCTCCCCTATGTCCACCTTTTTCTATGTTCCAGCAAACTAAATCCAAACACAAAGGCACCTCTCCTGCAGCACAGGATTCATTTACAACCTGTGGATATTGTGAGCTAACGGGATACAAGTCATGTCACATCAGCCCTGTGAGCAAGGAAACGGATGCTGTCGGCAGAGAGACAACTCTTGTCCACACACCTACAGACACCCCTAGCTTGGCTGGAGCCACCCGCTGCTCCACAGCCCTACATCCCAGGCTTCTTGCCTGCCCAATGGCAGGTAGACATCCAGGCATGCAGGGTGGCAAAGCCAAGCCTGCATGGGCTGTGGCACAAACCAGACTGGGTAGTTCTGTCCTAATCAACATTATGAGCTAAACTGTGTCCCCTCAACATTTATGCTCAAGTCCTAACCTCAGGATGTGATTACAGTATCTGGAGACAGGACCTTTTAAGAGGCGTTAAGGACAGGGCACAAAGGCACATGTCTGTAATACCAGCTACTCAGGAGCCTGAGGCAGGAGGATCACAAGTTTGAGGCCAGCCTTGGCAAATTAGCAAGATCCTGTATCAAAATAAAATGAGGTTGAGAGTATGAAATAGGGAAAAAAAAAGTCTAAAGGAAAAGTGGGAAAGGGAGGGAAAGGAAATAAGGGAAAAGAAAAAACGTGAAAAAAAGAAAAAAAAACGGAACCAGTCTTTGTAAATAGGGAAGGGTAAAGGGGCTGAAGGGAGGGTAGAGGGATGGGGGAGAAAACAAGAACCAAGACACATCATGTAAGGTACAAAATTCCAATGATAAATGTAACTGTATTATTTGCTTTAAATGTACCAATAAACTTTTCTGGGTTTTTTTTGTTTTGTTTTGTTTTGTTTGTTGTTTTTTGTTTTTTGTACCGGCGATCGAACTCAGGACCTTGTGCTTGCGAGGCAGGCAGCCAAATCCCTGGCCTAAGCTTTCCATTTTTTGTTTGTTTGTCTGTTTGTTTGTTTGTTTGAGACAGGGTCTCCCTCTGTAGTTGAGACTGACCTGGAACTCACTATGTAGCTCAGGCTGGTCTCGAACTCACAGCGATCCTCCTGCCTCAGCCTCCCAAGTGCTGGGATTACAGGAGTGCGCATCCACGCCCCTAGTAAACTTAATGGGGAGAAAAATAAAAAGATAAAATGAGGGCTGGGGGTGTTGAATCCCCAGGACTGATAAAAAAAAAGTTTAAGGTACAATGAGTTCACCAGGGCAGGTCTTAATCCCATCGGACTATGCCCGTCTTGACAGGAAGAGATGGGGACGCACAGATCACAGAGGTTGGTGGTAATTTAAAGAACCAGCAGGGGGAAACGGCTTTCCCAGATGGATCTGAAAACCAACCAACCACCAGAGGGCAGCCCGCACTGGCAGCACAGGTGAGCTGAGAACCAGGGTCTGTAGGACCTGAGGACTCAGGTTAGCGCCTCCAGGTCAGAAGTGCTACCAAAAGCTCTGGGCTAAAGGGCTGAGTGAGGGCCCCGGGTGTTTGGGGTGACACGAGGCCAGAAGCGGATCCAAGCTCAGGACCTCAGAGATGAAACTCCACACCTGTGGGGACAAGAAATGCCAAGAGCCAGGCCCATAGTGACACCAGGGTCCCCGCAGCCCACGGACGTGCCATCATCACACGCTCTGGATGAAGAAAACTGGACCTGTGGGTGTGACGTCACCGGTGGAAGAGAAGG